TCGGACATTCAGCCTTCTTGTGGCCCATCCGATCACAATGAAAACATAATGGTCTTGGCCCCTGAGGGCAATCCCTGATGACGTGACCAACCCTGCCACACTTGTAGTAGCCCAAACCCCTAGAGCGACAAACACCATCTTGTAGTTTCCCGCATGTTCTGTACTGAATCCGGTCCTGCTGGCCTCTCAAAAGCTAATCGGATGTCTTGGATGTCTTCTTAGGACCCTCCAATATGTGCACCTAATCTAAACCCATCTTCCTGATGTGCTCCAAGTCAATCTCCCGCTCTCGGGCTCTAGAGATCATATCATTCAGGGTCTCCCACCCTAAAATACTCATGAATTTCCTAATGTTATCTCGCATCATATCATGATACCTCACTTTCTTCATCTCCTCATGTCACAACTGGAAAAATTAGGTTAAGATGTGCATTCCTAAACAATATAATCTCCTTGTGTAAGCCCAAAAAATGATCCATTAAGCCAAGCCCAATCATTTTTGGGCCTTAACCCATAAATTCTCAACCTACAACCCTTATTGGACCAAGACATTCTTATTAGGCATTTTGGGCTAAAAACATATACTAGGACCTTAATAGGGTCGATAATTATTATTTTTGGGCCCTTCGAACCAAAAATCATTTTCTAAGCTTTAATGAGCCGATAATCCTTCATGGGGTCAAGTCAAATCGAAACCCACCATGTTGGGCTACTCTCTTGGGCCAAATATCCCTCTTGGATTGGTTAGCCCATCTTTAATAATAATAATAATAATAATAATAATAATAATAATAATAATAATAATAATAATAATAATAATAATAAGATAAAATGGTGAATTATATGGGCTTGCCACCTCATTTTTGCATGACATATATCCATGCATTTGTCCATCATGTATCTAGGAATTGAAAGCTTATACAATTTATAAGATAATTTTCAAAGTTTCAAGTTTTGTATTAGTTTATATGGTTAGGCAAATTACATGACACTTGTTTGATGTGAATTGTCTTGTTCTTATGAGTTTAATTTAGATTATAGATAAATTGTTTGATTAGCTTGTTAAAATTTTTGATCTAAATGATTCTGGTGAATTCCATTACTTATCCTCAAGTTATGGAAAATGAAAAGTTTTCTTTGAAATAGATCATAAAAATCATAGGTTATGAACTTGAAGAGTCTTTTTCCCATAAATGGTTTTCTGAACTCCATAACTTGTCATCAATTTATGGAATATCAAGAGTCTTTTCATTAAACCTATATTAAACTCATAAGTTATGGATTCCAAAGGTTTTGAAAGTTACAAACTTTCCCTCAAATTTTGGAATTTGTAAATGTAAAATTCTAACTTTTGAAACATTTAGTTCCAAGCCCTAGAATTTTAAAAGTTTAAAATTCAATCCTTATACTATTATAATATTATAGGTTTAATATTTATGTATATGTATAAGAGTAAAGTCATTCTTACCATTAGTAGGCCTCATTCACGAAACCGGTCTACAAGGGGGGTATAAGGTTACTTCCTATAAAATGGCAGTTTAATGGGTGTCCACTCTCACCCACCGCTTCCTTGACCGATGGAGGGTTGTTAGCCGAACGGGTAGGATAGGACTCTAATTCTCCCTTCATTAAAAGTATAATGATAAATATAAAGTAACTAAATACTTATAAATTCCCAATCTTAGTTACTTTAGGAAAATGTGAATATGGTCCTAACCCATGAAATTGCACTTTGCACCTTGTTAAGTCATTAGTGGAGCTTGTATGGTTAACCGACACACTAATCTGGACTGACAGTGTGTGGCAAAGGGTAGCTTGATGTTAATCATAGATCAATGGAGTGTGTGTTAACCGTCACATTGGGTGGTTGTAACATTGGGTGTACCAAGCTAATTTGCATTGTTATTCACACCTTGTTTGTGATCCTCGACATCTCAGTCACAAACTTGAAGGGCACAACCGAGATTTGAACATGCCATTGAATTGTTCAATGAATCTCCAAGGATCTAGGAGTTTCAATTCACTTAAAACCTAAAAAAATTCTTTTTTGATTTTCATGGTGGAAATTGGTAAATCGTCATTTACCTACCTTAAAATATTTTTTGGTTTGGACTACGACATCCCTCTTCCAAATTGTAAAATATTGTGTTGGGTCCTAGCCTTAATATTTAATTTGTGTGTTATATTAAGGACTAAATCAACTAACTTGAATTTCTCCCCACTACTAGAAAAATAGCCTTTTACGATGCTCATTGCACATCGTAAAACGCTCAGACGACGTGCAAATGCACGTCAAGGAAGGCCCTGTCATAACGAGAGACGACGCGCATTTATGACACGCAATGCGTATCATTAAAGCCATTGTCAAGAAAGGCCATGTCATAAATGAAGATGACACACATTTTTGCGTATCATAATTTTTATTTTTTTAAAAAAAAAAATTATTTATTAATTTACTAATTTTCAAATTAAATTTGCATTTGATGTTTCATAATAGAAAATAAAATACCATATACAAAAAATACAATCCATTGCACAAAATTTAATGTCATACAAAATACAAAATAAAATACAATAAATAAGAAAGATAATTCATTGCACTAATATGTCAAATACAAATAATCATCCCTAACTATATAACCTAATACTACATTGCTATTAAGGGACATCATCATAACTCAATGAAGGTCTTGGAACAATGTTCTTGTCATCCCACTCTGCCTTTATTTTCCAATTCATATTTTAAATTGATGTTTTTTGTTTGACAACTCTGAACAATTTCTATTGCAAAACTCCTGTTGTGATATGTATTTCATATTATAAATCATTAAATAAGTGTTCTCTACAATTGATGATTATATTTTGTTGTAGTTTCTTTTGATTTTAAACTTATATTCTTTTAGGGAGAAGTGAGGAAGGGTGTTAATGGAATAACACAAATTAAAGCTATTTAAAAAAAACCACTTGCCTAGAAGATTATTTGAAAGGAATATCCATATATACCAACATCTTTCTATCTTGACTTTCTCTGTAAACAAACACTCAAACAAGATGAAGTGAGAGTTATTATAATGCTTCAACTCAATATATATATATATATATATATATATATATATATATATATATATATATATATATATATATATATATATATATCCTTGTATGGCTTGCAAAGGAGTTACAGTCAAAACCAATCTGTGAGAGCTATTATAATGCTTCAACTCAGCATTTAACTTGCAAGAAGCATTTTTTTATATGATGCCCTTCATCAATTATAATATAATGCCAATGTATCTTGCTCAGTTTTGGCTTATCATGCTTGTTCATGAGATACTCATAGGTTGTCAAAAGAACATTGAACTTTTGTTGAACTATCTTTTCCCTGCAGTGATGCAAATACTATTTTAGACGACCAAAAAAGATGGGGAAATGAAATCACATCAACTGTTTTAGAAATACATTGTGTATTAACCAGTTACTAGGTACTGGAGGGACCACTGTTTGGGCCAAACTAATGATAATTACTTAAAAAATATGGAGAAATGAAATCACATCAACTTTTCTTTACATTGTTGTCTTCTGACGTTTCTCATTTTGATGTTGAGACCAGTAAACATGTGCTGCCAGGACCCGGTCAAGAAGCTCCTATGGGACCGGCTATCCCCTTCTTTGTTGAGGTGAAATGCTTGCTGTGTGAACCAAAGTTTTCCATTTATCCTGTTCATAAATCAAACCATTATTATTATATTATTCTTTTATCCAACTTAGTATATTTTAATTTATCATACTAAAAATATATTTCTTACCTTCAAGTCCACATAAGTTCGATGGTTTGCATCATCAAAAGCATGCATTTTAACATCACGCCATCTACAAATTTTTTACAAACAAATATTAGAAATGATAATAAAAATAATAATAAATAAATAACTTTTTATTTTTTTTTAAATGTAAAAAAAAAACACAGACGTTCCATCTCCAAGGGTCTCAACAGCTTCCACAAGCGCTTCTATTTTAGACAATGAAAAAGATCTCTTGCTTCTTCTTTGTGAAAGTTGAGATATTTTAATTGAACCTGCCACTTGTTCTCCTTCTTCTTCTTCTTCTTCTTCACTTATTGCATTCACATGGTTTACTTCATTCTTCTCCAACACAGGACTAGAAGGTATCAACAATGGAATTTATTTCTGTATAAGAGATGGAGATGGAGTAGAAGGCTCAGGTAAAGTAGGCTCCAATGTGAATCCTAAAGATTCAAGATTACATTTTGGGAAATCCCTGTTTTTTCCAAATGATGGATCCCAAAAACGAAATTCCACTGAACTAAAAAATAAACCAAAAATAACTTGCATTGTTGCTAAGAAACAACCCCCGAAAAGTATATAATTGTCCAAAAAAAATATCACTATACCCTCTATACCAAAACAACTAGTCCAACTCAAGAAAGAAAAACATAATTGGAACCAAAGATCCATAGAAAAATCCAACACAAAACATCCCAAATATTCCAGACCACAAAACTAGGACAAAAACTAGTCAAAAGGGTAAATATGTCCAAATCCCAAAAAAAATTAATAGAACTCCACAAATCCAGGTAAAACACAAAAAATTAAAATACCCCTATACTATTATTAACACTTACATTGTTATTTCGACCAATGGAATCTCCCCAATGGACCCTGCAGAATCAAATTCATTTTCAACAAGTTCTCTCACATTACTGTAAAGCGATTTTCCAAGCTGAAACTCAAATACAACATATAATTATAAAACATTAAATACATAACAACCCTAAGGCCAACTAATTACCTTTGAGGTTTTATAGTATGTGTTAATAGATCACATCATGTAAAGTTATGTTGAATCATTCATAACAAAACAAACAAAACATATACTAGATTACACAATAGAACTTATGTTGTGAAACCCAACAATGTTCTTATTCTCCGCAAAGAACTCAGCAAGAGACTCTGAAAAAACCAATGGAGACTCTGAAAGAACCAAAACTTGAAATTAAACTACAATTAATACAATACCATCTCCTGGTATCGAGGTTGAACAAGATAAATACATTCAATTAAACTGAGAAGTGAAAAAAAAAAAGAATTATTGCTAGTCAATTCTTATGAAAATACCAAAAGATGTTATATCCTAATGTTATAAAACATGCCAATATATCTTCCATTTAATTTACCTGTGAAAGAATTGAGCTTACATGGCTATCTAATATATCCTCCATAAATATGTAATATGAAAAAAAAACTTCCATCCATAAGTTTAACCTTGATCGGAAGCATATAAGAAAGTATAGTATATTTGGAGCTTGTGAAATCAACTTTACCATAATCAAGTTTACCAAAAGATTCATTGTTTGCACTCCACCCTAAACTTGAGATGAAGTCAACAATTTGTGGTGGGCACTTCCAACCTTGAACAACACCAAGCATTTATCATTCATTGGAGATGAAACCATAAACGAAATCAGGACCGGATCAACTGCTTAAAGATATAAAAGATAGCTGTAAAACTGGAAGATGTTTGTTTAGGATAAGCAATAATAAGCTTCGAGAAGAGACACTAACCAGGAAGATAACATAAATGAATCAAGGTGGCAATTCAACAAACAGTTAGTGTGCACAACCAAAATCTACATAAAAATAGAATTCCTTTCCATCACAGAACAATCACCAAACATCATATCCTCAACATCCATTTACAAACTTGAAGCGCCACCTCACAACCTCACATTCAATTCGAAAAAAAATAACAAGAATGAAGAAGAGGATGTAATCGAACCAGAAAAGGAAAAATCAACACCTACAGTTCTTGCAGTTCTTGGAGGTGTGATAGATTTCTAGAAAGGAAATAGATAACCAATGATTTTAGGTGACCTGGTTTGTGAATGGAAGTTTGAAGAGGGAAGAATACATCTGATCGATTAAAGGGAAAAGGAAGGTACGAATTTTGGTAGCTGTGATTGTTGATCGATAATTATGAAAGGAACGAGATGCGGGAAGGGTTTGAACATACCATTTTTATGATCTCTTGTACGTGTGGGAAGTTGCTGTGAGCTATGAATTATGTGAGGTCCGGTTCAAGCCCTAGTATCTTTATTTATTACATGATGATGGGCCATATGCGAAGATAAAAATATGAAGACAGACCACATCTGAAGAATTTTGGGTAAAGATATGGTTAGATCTGATTCAAAGCGTATCGATAGGTATCAAAGCGGCCATGGAATTTGCATAGTTTCATTAATTAGGTAATGGAAAAGAGAAGGGGTTTTCAGCTGGTAGAAGATGAGAATAAGGCGGGGGTTTTTATTTTTTTGGGGTTTGATTTCCACCCTTAGCTATAGGTATCATTATTTTTTTGTTTTGACACTAATTTTAAGGGCAAACAATAATGCGTGACCTAAATCCTTAAATTTTTTGAAGAGATGACACTATTTTAATGTCACTCTCTTTTGCGTAACATAAATCAGTGAGTGTCATAGTTTGCGCATCATAAAAGGGTCTTTTCTTGCAGTGCCCATTGTAGATGTTTAGTTCAAACAACTATGGTCTTCCCAAATCCTTTGGAACAAGTTTTCCTCTTGAAGATGATGTCTCGCGGTTGGATCGTGGAAGTCATACTTCACTTCCTCCACATCCTCCAATAATTCTCCCTAACCCAAAAGTTTAAAGACTTGAAAAATTCAAGGTCACTCAAGCCCTACTTTTAATGAAACATCAAGATGGAAGGCCTGTGTGTACTCACATCTTGGAGATAAAGTCACATATTGACAGACTGAGTGTATTGGGTGTAATTGTCTCGAGGAAGTTGGTGGTTGACTGGGTTCTTCAATCATTTCCTGAGTCTTATAGTGAGTTCATTAAGGACTACTATGTGACAGACTAGGACATGACCCTTATTGATGTTATCTATTTGCTTGTTCCTGTTGAATCAACAATGATTTGGTGCACTGGAAAAGTAAATTTTATTGGAAGCTCTACTCCCCAAACTTCCATGGACATTGAAAATGGAAGCATTGGAAGTCCAAAAAATATTTTTCTTTCCAAGGGAAAGAGAACGGCTAAGTATGAGATTGTCCCGTGTACCATTCCCAAAGAGTCTATATGTTTCTATTGCCAAGAAAAGGTACGTTGGTTCCGAAGCTGCCCTGGCTACCTGAAAGATCTGAGAAAAGCTAGAATCGAAAATTTTAACTCTGGTTCAGGTAAGTCTACTGTCTAAATGTATTAAGTTCCTAACTGTTGATTCTTAATGCATGATGTTACAAGGTTACATTTTGATGTTTTCTAGGATCATGCAAAGGGTAGAAAGCTTAAATGAAGAGTATGCTGAATCTGATCGCGAAGATGGATTTCAATCGCATGGTTCGATGATCGGATTTTTGAGCTGTTGCTTATGAGTAGTGGGAGATTGCTAGGAAGTATGTAATAACATAGTTTTCATTTATAATTGCATTGTAAGGAAAAGTTTTTTCCTACTTTTTATAAATAAATAAAATTTTGTTTTATTTTTTTCTCCTTACAATGTCATTTGTGAAATTGATGTTTGTATGTTTCTATGTTAACAATATGAATTTGATTCTTTCATTTGTGGTAATGTTAAACAAAAATAAGGAAAGATTCTCATCACACAAATGTCAATTGAACAAAAACTTGGAATCATGCAAGTTGTATTGTATGACGAATGCAAATTTTTATCTTTGGGAAATTAAGACTAAGTCCTTGTTTATATGTATATGTGACTCAAGTGTAGGACTAGGGGATCGCGTATACTGCGTGTGCACTGGTCAAAGATCCACAACAAAGATCAATAAGACTATTCATAATGATTTACTAAAGTTTAGTAAACTTGGTTATGCTTACAAGTTTAAGTGTAATTCTAAAACATTAAAAAAGGTTCAATGTATAGTAGCACGAATGAGAAGAATCCAATTAGGCAGAAGTATAATAGTTTCTCCAATCTGAAAACATGGGAGAGTACTTTAATATCGTGTTTTATGATCATCTTAATATTTATGGAAAAACCATATCACAATTGATCCTCTAAAGAAATCTTAGTGCATCTGTATGTTTAAGAAGAGGAATCGTGAATTGGTGAAAATAGTTTAAGTCAAGAAGATGAGTCATACTTCGTTCTCAAAACAAGTCTTAAAGTCATACTCCAAGATTGTATCCTTGAGTGACATAATCATAGGAAAGGTTTAAAACACTTATCAAATGTAGAGTAAAAGTTTTCTACTCATGTACATTTAAAACTGGTGAGTTGTGATGTTTTAGATAAAACAAAGATCAACTACAACCAATTGTGTGAAGTGTTTGTCTTGATAAGAACCCGCACTAAATCTTGAATATTCAATTTTTCAAGGAATGATTCATGACAAGAGAATATTATATGTCAAGAGGGAAGTGGGAGTCTTAAAGATATTGACAAGTTTAAAAAACTAATCAAGAATAAAACCTATTGTTTATCACTAGCACATAACTTGAGGTTTATAACCTATCGTGTTGACATATTCTTATTTCTGTGCCCATTCCAATTAAAGTTGACTATGCATGTGAGTTCTATGAGTTCTTAGTTGTTTGCATAACAACTTGGAGGCAATGAAAGGCCCTTGTGCTGCTAGGTGGCAAGAAATTAAGAATGAACAAATTCAGTCCATATTAGTTTGGATTTGTCACTAACATTGTCTTGTGATTATGGTTATGACAAATTCACATGGATAGGAACACATACACCATAAAATCTAAGTGTCATAAGGTTTCTCTCCGATTCATGAGAATGATGTTGAGGAAACGCTTTCACTAAGTAGATTTTAAGGAGATATCATTTGTGATTTTTGCATTCTCAAATTTGATTATGACTACAACATCCCTTTTCATAATTCGGATTGTGGGGAATGGCATAATGTTTAAACATTTGAGACTTATTGTTGTAAGTTCTAAAAATTCTTAGACACATATGTGAGCTATCTAAGGAATGGTGTATGAGTTTGAGAAGCCTAGATAAAGTCTTATCGAATCATCTCATGTCAGAAATCTGAACTTTGGTAAGAAAGTTAATAAATATTGATTTCTAGAAGTCCATCTGATTTCTGGGTACATCTCAAAGCTAGTGGGAGCATAAGTGTTATGCTAGTAAGATAATAATTATAATGCTAGTGGGAGTATAATTATTTTGGAAAGTGTTGCAAGTTAGCAATGTTAATTATAGAAAACAAAAGTCTCAATTTGCAAAGATGCAAGGTTTGAAAAGTTGTTTTGATATAATTATTTCTAGAAGTCCCCTCGACGATTTAGTGATGGTACCAGGCCTGGATTAATTAGATTTGTTCAATTAGACGATCGTCATAAATCGGAAATCCGGAAACAACAAATGGACAGAGCGAATGATTATAATCCATGTCTCAGTCCATATGATATCTAGAATGGAGGAATATATGATCCCTTATCTAATAGACACGTCATTAACTATGCCAGAGTTCGACAATGGCTTTTAAGAGCTACAATTCGTAGTTGGGTTAGAGTCATGCTAGCAATAATAGTTATTAGACTCATTTAAGTGGGAGACTGTTAAATTAGGTGTCTCAGCCCATAACTATTATTGGTATGTACTTGACCCAAGAGTAACATGGTCCATTTGGGTTGCATGGCACCAGAACAATTTTGAGGATGTACTTTTGAGAAGAAGATATTTATGATTTATTAATATATTATAAGTTCTAATATATTAATATGAAATCATATTATTTAATTAGTATTGATCAAGAATTAGTTTCGAATTAATTTTGTGATCAAAAGAGACTAATTAAATAAATTAGGATTGATTTGGTAAATCATTCATTCTTATAAAGTGGGGTTATGATCCGTAGTTCTTAATGTTGGGATAAATCCATGTGGTGACCCATGGATACTCCATCGAGGTTAAAACCCATAGATCATGAGGAATGTGGAAAGTCATGAATTACATGGTTTAACCCTAATGTGCAAACTATATAAGAACCCCTCTAGCTCATGAATTTGGCACTTGAGTGGAATACTAAAGGGCTAGCCGATTTCATGAAGTGTAAGTGACCTCTTCTCAAGTTCCTTCATTTGTTGGTGGTGTTGTGTGATTCCATTTTGAGGTGCAATACTTGGGGAACTAAGTTCTTAAAGGTCCAAGGATTCCAACTATAAGACAAGGTATGTTATCTAACTTGTTTTATTATCGAAGTATCAATGTTTTGTATGCTAGTTAGGGTAATACCTTGGAAAGTTCAAGTTTGCATGTATAATAGAGAAAACATAGATCCAAGGTATTTAGGGATGCATGTACACCTTAGGAGTGTTAGAACGCTCATAATCCAACACAAACTCCCTCTAAAATCCAACATGCAAGATGAAGCATATCCTCAAGCATCTGGATCGTCCGCTCGCTCTGATCGTTGGTC